GACAGTGGGGCGCCACCGTCAATACCGGATCGCTGGTTCAGATTTTTGCCATGTTGGAAACCATATAGTTGAACGATGGTAGCGCCCCCCTGTCATTGAGTTTGGCGGGACAGTTCAGCGTGGGTCATCTATAGTCTTGTATCTTCGATCGACCATTCGTTTCGACCATTTTATCGATTTTGCCCATACATTTTGACGTAGATAAAAGTTATCACGGCGCGCATCTATAGTCTTTTTCACCTAAGATGATTCGTATGACGTTTCGAGTTTGAAAGTTATAGAGATGTCACATAACTAAACCATAGCGATTTATCTATCGATTTTTTTCTAAGAGTTAGTGAAACCTACTTTTAGAGAAATATTTTGTATAGGTGTTATTTAACAAAAAAACATGTTTTTTTAATTACAAATATTATTGTAACAATTTTTTATTGATAATATTCAAATTCCATGGACTTTGTGTTCAAAAAAACGATTCCTAAAAACTACTGGTTCTATTTCTTTAAAATAAAAACTGTTAATTTATTTTCAATGCGTTTATTAAAGTCAACAATCGAAAAATATACTTGATTTTTGAGATGTTTTTAATAACTAAGTATTCACTACAATCGATTAATGAACCGCGGAAATAATCGATTTTGTTATAGGTACAACAAATACCCCAGCACTAAATCTATTCCGTTTCACACATTACGTACATTAAATAAAAAATTTTTTTACATCGTATTTAATTAAAATATAATCAATAGACTCAGATTTTACTATATATTTCAAGACAAGTAGTTAATTTTTTTTTATTATATTGCTAATGAAATACAAATATTTTTTCAAAAATATTCTGCATATGTAGTATGCGTAATATGGATAACCTTGAAGTGTCATACGGATCATCTTAGCTGAAAAATATAGATGACCCACGCTGAACTGTCCCACCAAACTCAATGACAGGGGGGTGCTACAATCGTTCAACTATATGGTTTCCAACATGGCAAAAATCGGAACCAGCGATCCGGTATTGAAGGTGGCGCCCCACTGTCAATGTCATCGATAGGACAGTCCAGTATTTTGGAACTATACTATAGGCCTACAGGAAAGTGTTAAGCCACGTAAAGAATGTAATCTGTCTAAATAAATACAAATAAAAACAAATACGTAGCAGAAGATACGTACAAACAAGTAATAACAGTTGTAACATTTTCCATGTGCCCGTACTACGAATCTTGCTACGTAATTTCGTAGTACCAAATCGGATGAGCTACGATGAAAGTACTTATCTGTCAAAAATCTTGCTACGTGAATTCGTAGCTTCGAAACGTGCTACGTGATAGTGACTGATGCCCGTTTTCACCATCAATCTCTAATTTTTAAGTGACCCCTATGGTAACAAATAACATGAATGTTGTTTACATAGGCGTCACTTAAAAATTAGGGATTGATCATGGACCTATAAAAAAAGGCGGACGGAACTCGCGCTACAACAAAACTGTGACGCAAAATTTTGGCGTTTGTCTATTGTGTGAGTGAATTTAGGGATGCCATGTTAGCCAAAACATTTTACCCATTTATTTTAAGAAAAACATAGATCGGCAGATGTTACTTGGAAATANAAATCTTTAACTTTATTGATCTTTTTGATGCACTCGTTACCTACTACGTTAAAGCACACAAAAAAAAATGATTCTCAGTTATATTACTCCAAAACTATAAAATTTCGGATTTTTTTAATATCACGTGAGATTTGGGGGTGGGGGAGGGGGTCAGGCAAAATCTCACCAAATCTCACCAAGGGGGGCGGGGGGGTTGAAAAATAACCAAAATTGTCTCACGTAATTTATGGACGCCCCCAAATAGTCTTTTTTTTTATTTCGAACACAGAATTTAAAGAAACAAAAGACATTTGGAGCCTGTTTGTCGAAATCAAACAATCGAATACTAAGAAAACTTGGTTTTACCCATGGACCTATAAAAAAAGGCGGACGGAACTCGCGCTACAACAAAACTGTGACGCAAAATTTTGGCGTTTGTCTATTGTGTGAGTGAATTTAGGGATGCCATGTTAGCCAAAACATTTTACCCATTTATTTTAAGAAAAACATAGATCGGCAGATGTCACTTGGAAATGTAGACAGAATTATTCCGTGCCATTTTAAAAGGATGAAAGGTGAATGCGTTAAGGTAGGCGCGAAATTTTCCCCTTCTGACCCACCGCACTACCAAACCACACTACCAGTAGTGTCGTGGGGAATATTTTTTCCCTTATACACTACCAAGCCAGTAGTGTCGTGGGTATTTTTTAAGGGCCTTACATCTTCATTCCCATCGAAACTACTACCATAACTACCTAAATGTAAAATTTGTAAAATTTGGATTGTTTTGTAATAAATTATGTTTATATGCAACCCTAACCTCTGTGCAATTTTGCAGTTTGACGGAATTTACTGAAAATAAAATATTACCTAAAAGGGCTTATGTACATGTTACGGTAAATGTGCAAGTAAAACGCTTTCAATATACTATAAGACGCTTCTAATGATATGTAATCATAATCTTATGCATCATCAATATATCATTATTATCTCTGATAGATTTTTTTTAACATACAACCTGACACTGACTTGCAATCAATGTAAGAAAATTTGAATTTCGCAGTTCCAAATTTTTGGGAAGGATCAAATTTGCCTATGAAAATATATCCCATTAAAACACAATTATTATGATAAATTATTTTATTTCCATAGTATGCGTAATAAATAACTAAAAAGTCCTAAAATTATTATTAATTTCCCATATTTCGGGTAATTTTCCCACGTAAATAACTGAGAACACTGGTCTTTGACGTATTATTTTTTCGAGTGAATGACGTTTGATTTCAATTAATTTCAATATTTTAATGTCGGGAAATAAGTGATTGGATTATTATTTTGCCTGTGAAATGTGATTCCTTAATTTTTGTTTGTTCGAACAGAACGGTTTTTACACAATTTCATCACACAGGACATGTCGTATTCGTGTTGTTTTTTCGCTGCTTAAATGTTTCAACTGTGTGAAGTTTGCACTCGAAGTGGTGTATCAGGGTGTGAATGTGTGCGTGCCGGCCTGTACGTACAGGCAAGCTGGTCACAGTATTTTGTTGATGAGAATCCGTCCGACTTTTTTTATAGGTCCATGGTTTTACCTATTGGTTTACTTGGATTTAATTCTTGAAAAAGTGATTAATTATCTTTGGTTTTGCAACAAACATTACTTATTCTTAACATTAAGGTGAGGTTCTATCAATAATCTATGGATACTTCACCTGAAGTCGCCGCCTAAGCTGTGCCACTTATTCAGGCCGGACACAGCCAAAGAAACGTGAGTGCTCAACTTAATTTAAGTCGATCTGTGGTCCAAAATGTTTATCGGAGGTACCTAGAGACTGGCGGCTTTGTTCGTCGCCAAGGAACGCCACGATCTCGGGTCACAACTGACAGGCAGGATCGATTCATCGTGACGACCAGCTTGAGAAATCGTCACCTTACCTCCATTGAGATACAAAACCAACTTCGCGACTTCCACGGAGTATCTGTGAGCGCTCGAACTGTTCGGAGAAGGTTAAAAGAACGCGATATGGTACCACACAAGCCAGCTAATGGCCCCAAACTAACGCGAGCCCACCGAACAGCGCGCCTTCATTTCGCACGCAGTCATTTAAATTGGACACAGCAAGATTGGAGCCGTGTAGGTACCTACTCTTTTCTGATGAATCTAAAATTGTGTTACATGGCAATGATGGAAGGAAGAAGGTCTACCGACGTAAGGGAGAGCTTTTCGCACAATGCTGCTTTGAAGAGAGGGTTGCTTATGGCGGTGGCTTATGGACTCTGGGGCGGTATATCCGCGAGCGGCAAAACTCAACTTGAGGTTGTTACGGGACCACGGCTGCCAACATTAAATGCTGAAAGGTACATTCGTGAGTGCTTAGAACCTCACGTGATACCATACGCGGACTATGTGGGCCCAAATTTCCTTTTTATGCATGATAATGCAAGAGCCCATGCGGCCGGCATCGTCAGGGAATATCTTCGGGATGTGAACATCACAGTTATAGTCTGGCCAGCCAGAAGCCCAGACATGAACCCCATTGAGCACATGTGGGACGAGCTAAAAAGACGTGTTAGGGCTCGTCAGCCAGTTGCCCAGACGATGCAGGAGTTGAAAACTACCATAGAAGAGGAATGGGAGATGATCCCTCAAAATTTCATAGAGCGGTTGATAAACTCTATGCCTAATCGTATGAGAGCTGTGGTAGATGCCTATGGAGGCAACACGCGTTATTAAATTAAACCTTTATTTGATAAACATGTTTTTTATTCAAAAATCAATTGCCTTTAACAAGGCGCATATCCGACTTGTTAGGTGTAGCTCCATGTCGTATGGTATTCTGAATTCAAATTTAAAACAATACGATCGAAAAAGATGGTAAAATGTATCAGGTTTAAAACTGCATCAACAGTTTTTGTTCAATCTAGCAATCATATTTCGGTAGGGGCCATCGAAACCTAAACTCTGATGGGCCAATAGATGTGTCAAGAAGTGTATTATAAATGCGAAAGTAACTGCCTGTCTGTCTTGCTTTCACGCCTAAACCACTGAACCGATGTTGATGAAATTTAGCAATAGAGATAGTTTGAGTCTCGGGAAAGGACAGGATAGTTTTATCCCGGTTTTTTAAAATCGACGTGCGCGATAAAGTTTTTCTGTGACAGACAAAATTCCACGCGGGCGTAGCCGCGGGCGGAAAGCTAAAGTATTTACCACCGAGATTATTTCATAAAAATAGAAGTTAAAAATTCATTAAAAAATTGTATGAATATGAAATATTTTTTGTTTGTTATAGGAAATTTCTTTGTAGGTACCTATTATGAAACATACAAGGAAACATTAAGCACTCTAACAAAATAATAGCATTATGTTGTAAGTAATCAATCAATAAGTAATTTAATTTATGTTTTGTCAATTAAAACTTAAAAATTACTTTGATTAATATTCGAGTAATCATCAGCCCAACACTGGATAGGTTCCAACAAAATGTAGTCTCATCAATCAGTTATTGTAAATACCTGTTCAATGTGACTTGAAGGAATTGTGTCTTTTCCATTAATATATTTATTGACAAAGAGCAAGGCATAGAGATAGCCCGCTTTTCCATACAGAAGTTCATCAGGAGAATCATTTATGAGTGATATGAGCGACATTAATCTGAAAACACAAATATATAATTTCATGAGTACCTATAGAATAAGGTAGATAGGTACCTGCATCCACAAAAAAGACTTATAATAAAAATAAAATTAATAGACACTATTGTACAATGTATATGAATGTTATTTTGTAATACAGATTTTATTAATATTTAAAATAACATAAATATTATTCTGAATTAAGTCATTGCTACTCATTTGAGGAACAGTTTGTTCTTTTAGCGATTTAATCTGGGGGCATGGCAGTGCCCCCACCAAGTCGAGCAAAAAAGCGGCACGGCCGTACCATCCTTTTCTCGAAGCAATTCAGGCCATTTTCGACCGCCTGTAACTTCGTTGTGGATAAAACTAGAAGGCTGAATTTTCATTAGCTATGCAGGCATTGTAAAGACACGGTATATTTCAAATTTCATTCAATTTGAACCAGTAGTTTAAGAATTATAACGGGTCGTCAAAGTTTCTTAATTTTGTCACTCACTGACTGACTGATTCACCGATCATCAAAATTCTAAGGCACTTCTAGCAGACCTAGAAGCTTCAAAGGATAGTGCCAGGGTCTGGACCAAGTGCTGCCCAGAATCAACCCATAGTGCATTTTGTTCCTCAGGCCAATACTAATGTGTAAACCGAAGCGCACTGAAATCTATCCCTGGAGTTAAGAGAAAAAAAGAGTTTTGTTTTGAATTATTTACATACAAAATATCATCGATATATACGTACTACGCATAAGATTTCGTGATTTTGGCATTAAATAACACTCGCTATGTTGAACTTAACCATACTGCATCCGTACACCTTACTTTAATGCGACTTAGACATTCTTTACAAGCGATCTAACGCTGTTGCAATAGTTTGGTTAGTTGACAAAAACCATTACTTCCAAAATGAAGCAAGAAGTTTTAGTTCTCTATCCTTGCGAAAAATCATTTTTTTTTTGTATTACGATCGATTATTGAAGTTATTGTAAGCTAAAACTTCTTGCTCCATTTTGGAAATAATTAATTTCGGCCAACTAACTAAACTACTGAAAAAGCGCTTAATCGCTTATAAATAATGTCGAAGTCGTACTAAAGTAAGGTGTACGGATGCAGTATGGTTAAGTTCAACATAGCGAGTGTTATTTAATGCCAAAATCGCGAAATCTTATATGTAGTAGGTATACATAGATGATATTTTGTATGTAAATAATTCAAAACAAAACTCTTTTTTTCTCTTAACTCCAGGGATAGATTTCAGTGCGCTTCGGTTTACAAATTAGTATTGGCTTGAGGAACAAAATGCACTATAGTTTCATTCTGGGCAGCACTTGGTCCAACTTCCATACATGGATTGGCACTGTCCTTTGGAATATAAGTAGTGTTTGGTGTATGAATCAAGGAAAAACTAAAATATTTGGGGGCACGGTAGTGCAACCGCCAAGTCGAGTAAAATTTTTCAATTTCGGTCCAGTTTTATAAATATTTAACTACTTACCTAAATAAGTTTGTAATATCATATAAAATTAAATATAAAGGCACACGGTAGTGTCCCCGCCAAGTCGAGTAACATTTTTCAATTTCGGTCCAGTTTTAAAATTTCATAAGTCAGAGAGAGGACTTTAAGAAAATTCGTTGCTGGTTAGATATACCTACATACAATAAGTAGAAGGTACCGAAAAGGAAAAAAGTAGAACTGTTTACAAAATACAAAAAGAAATGAGATCCCATCAAAAACAATACTATTACGTTAACGTACACATACGTTACATAAATTATTGACTTGGCCATCGCACTAAATAATTGTTTTTATGCGATGGCCAAGTCAATATATTTATGTAAAACGTTAAAGATTTCCTGGCCTGGACTTGGTATTACATGGATCTCACAACTTTTTACTGTAGAACAACTGAGTTGCGAGACTTGGTTTTTTTGACAAGTATTGTTTTTGATGGGATTCAATTTGCCTGTCCATGCCATGATCACTCATCTCAGGTTCTCCCTTAATTTCTATTCACATTTAGCAATGTAATAATACATTTACCTATTTGCAATAGTTTTGTAATCTGGCAAGCATTCTGGGCGCTTGGTACCCATTTTATATGATATAACAGTTGCTAATGCCAGAGGTCCAGCATCTCCACATAAAAAGCTAATTCGGCGTCCTTTAAGAGTGTCTATGTTGATATAATCTAGGGATGTCTATAAAAAAGTAAGTTGGTATTAATGTTTTACATAATTTACAATTTTTACATTTCAAAACAAAAAAACAGTTGCAACCTTTAACACATCCAAATTTACTTCACTTTTTACCCACGCACTAGTAAAATAATATAAAGCCAAACCAGCAGACCCTGTATACACTGTTCCATCATAAAATATATCTTTTTCCATTTGAGTGAGCAATATGTGCATTTTAGCTGCTTTGAAGTTTTGTAATTTTAGCTGGAATTTTTCAGATACCTGCAAATATACAGGATTATTCAATGATATTATTTGTTTTTATATAATATCATTGGGATTATTAAAGAAATCTATGATAAAAATTAAACCATGCTGCTTTATTTTTTTATTAGGACAACCAACCAGACAAACACGCATACATGGAATTACTATAGCTAAAAGTGTTTCTAATTTTTAAGATTTGATTGCGGGATAGTGTTACGTACACAGATATGGATTATAGGTTACGTACATTTTAAAATGACAAGCAGGTATTTTTTTTTATTATTAGTTACTATACTGTACTATTTATCTATAAAATAAATATACAAACAACTACAAAATAATTAGATCTAAAAAAGTAGCTTGATGATACTGATACCCGAAGAAAAATTAATTTTAACCTACCCCGTCTCTGGATTCATTGAGGATATTACTAGCGATTTCAGATTTGTAATCTTCATAATTATTTTCAAAAGATCCTTTCGAAGTCATGTTTTTGTTTGTTTGTAAAATAGAGTTTTGGTTGGTTTTGATTTTATGTTTATAGATACTCTCTAATCTGTGGTTTATAGTTCCAAAATACCATAGAGAAATAACATTGACAGTGAGTGGGGCACAGATTAGAGAGTATGGAGTGGGGCGCCACCGTCAATACCATGAAGCTACAGATAAAAATGGAGGCCACACTCCGAATACCTACTTGAAGCACAAACTAAGTATCACTATTTCGCTCTCTGTGGGCAGACTCGCTCTTTCTAAATAAACAAAAAATATAAAATTGCTCAAATTCAATGAAACCAATCGTAGACCGACGTTCGCGATCGGGCCGTATCGAGCGCATAATGCGCCCGATCAGTGGCGAACCCAACTAGAGGGTTGCCCACCGCGGTGTTGGACCCAAGTCCAGCCTACGGCGGGCTCACTCTAGTGGGCCCGATCGAGGGGACTACGGACGCGGCCTGAGGGCGCCACGGTAGGCTCGGACCTCGGCTCAGGCCGTGTCCGGGGGACGGATAGGGGAGTTCCGATTTTTGCCATGTTGGAAACCATATAGTTGAACGATGGTAGCGCCCCCCTGTCATTGAGTTTAGCGGGACAGTTCAGCGTGGGTCATCTATAGTTGTCCCTTTTCCGACTAACCTTAAATGTGTCCTTAACTTTACTAATCCCCATACTTTGAAATCTCTAGTTAAATTTATTAACATTAACAAAATTAATTTGTAACAAGCAAGAGCTAGCAGAAAACTAAACCTCCACATTTGTGTTTAATTTTATGTGTTATGTTTATGTATTGTGCTGTCTTTTTTGTGATGTCTCTTTGTTTTAGGTATTTTGCTTAGCATAACTTTAAAAAATTTAAAGGACAATGACCAAAAGTGGTCCAAATGTCCACCACTAATGAGACCTATATTGGCTTATAGTCCATTAAATAGAGATTAACTTTAAGTATGGGACGAAAAAAAAATAAGCTGTCAGTAAAAAGTTATGACCGTATGAAAATTGTAGTAGTTTACGCGCTAATCTCAGGAACTACTGGTCCGATTTGAAAAATTATTTTTGTTATGGATAGCCCATTTATCAAGGATAGTTTTAGGTTATATAACATCACCCTACAACCAATAGGGGCGGAGCAGCGACCACCCGACCATAATTCCAATATTGTTGTCTTTCTTCTGAGCTTATTTTTTGTCCAAAAGATAAGGAGACATGTAAAGTGCCCCATAAGGGCTACCTTTTTCTTTTTTTATTGTTTTCTATTGACGTTCATAAGTGCCACTTGTGGTCTAAACTGAATAAATATTTTTTGATTTGATTTGATTTGATTCGTTCTTTTAGCGAGAATCTAACACGGCACACTAAGCGATATGACATAACATAACATGCATAGATTAATCCAAAATGTGCGATGGATAGAATGATATCAAGAACATTTTTCGTATGAAAAGGTAAAAAACATGACTTTTCATTCAGTCATAACTTTTTACTGACAGCATATTTTTGATTGCGGTTTGGTTATAATGAATCAGTATTTAGTTGACTATTTTACTACATAGGTCTTGTTAGTGGTGGACATTTGGACCACACTCCATACATTTTTGGTCATTGTCCTTTATCAAAATACCTACACCGTGTTAAAGCTGCGCACGTAACATTGGCGGAACAGTGTGCCCTGTGGCGAAAAACACAAGTTCATTGCCATTAAAAGAAGAAGAAGAAGAAGAGGAAGAAGATCTATAGTTGAACGATGGTATAGATGACCCACGCTGAACTGTCCCACCAAACTCAATGACAGGGGGGCGCTACCATCGTTCAACTATATGGTTTCCAACATGGCAAAAATCGGAACCAGCGATTCGGTATTGACGGTGGCGCCCCGCTGTCAATGTCATCGATAGAACTATATCGGAATGGCACGCTTTGACGATCAACTTGCTGTATCTACTCTAATCCATATCTGTGGGTGGTGGGACAGTTCAGCGTGGGTCATCTATAGTTCCAAAATACTGAACTGTCCTGTGCATGATATATAGATATCTATATATATATAGATGACCCACGCTGAACTGTCCCGCCAAACTCAATGACAGGGGGGCGCTACCATCGTTCAACTATATGGTTTCCAACATGGCAAAAATCTGAACCAGCCATCCGGTATTGACGGTGGGCGCCCCACTGTCACTGTCATCGACAGGACAGTCCAGTATTTTGGAACTATAGCAGCGGCATTCTGTCAATGTCATAATAACTGGGACAATTTCAGTGTTGTCCAATCCAACTAGTAAAACTTGTAAGTGTGTGTATCTGTGTGGGCTTGCTTAATCATCGTTTTCGAGAGCGGAAGGTGGTCCCGCGCATGCGTCTGACATTTTTCGGCCATATTGTTATGACGCATACAAGATCATAGGTCTCCGCCAGTGACGACTCTGCTCACAGTTGACGTGGCTACTACGTACCATCCCGTTCGCCCACTCCGGACGCAGCATAGACGGTGACGAGGAATACGTAACTGGTGAGTGCTTGTACTGAAGACAAACCTTGCGACCTGTCATGGTCGCTCACATTTTGGTTTACAAAATATGGACATTCCACTAGACAGCAGAACATACTTACCCCTCTTTACTAATAAATATGTTGCGTATAAGTTAGACGCAAAAAGAAAATGTCACATTCATTACGCGACGATTCGCTTTTAGGACTTTCCTGTGAACAGCTTTCTTATCGGAATCATAATACCTATGATGTGAATCTGTTTTGAAACTGAACTATTCTGACAAGCAAGGCATACACAGATTGTTGACCTTGAATATTTTAGGTGACCCTATTGGAATGGACGGAATGGTGGAAGAGAATGGCTCATCTGGAGGAGCGGGTTCTGGAGATCCTCTGGGGAATGCGGGCCCCGCCGCGGCCAGCTCCACGCCGCATGTAGTCGCCGTGACCAGCATTGTTCAACTTACGCTCCCCTCGCAGGCGCCGTCAGCTCAGGTGTTTGTTTTATTGTATAGACTGCATTCATAAACATACATAACCTTTATGTACTATTGTATATTTGTAATCTTTTCAACTAATCTTATTAGAAATTTTCTTTCTATGGATTTAATAAATATTACTTTCATTGATTTCAGGTTCAGTCTGTAATTCAACCAAATCAACAGTCTGTTATACAAACAGCATCCAATATTCAGTCTGTGCAGTTACCAAAAGGAAATGTCATTCTTGTAAGCAAACCAAGTTCTGTAATACATACCACCCAAGGGACATTACAAACTTTACAGGTAATAAAAAGTAAACAAAACTATGAATAGTGTTTATGCTTTCATTTGAATTGTTCTTACTTTGTTTGAAAAATGCTTTTTTTTATTTTAGATAAAACCAGAACCTAACACATTAGTAAGCTCTCAAGGACAGTCTTGCAGTGACGAGAGTTGCAGTGATGATGAAGGGCCCAAAAGGAAATACAGGGAAATGCTGACAAGGCGTCCATCATACAGAAAGATATTAAATGATCTTGGAGGAGCTGAAATTGCAGGTAAGTTTTTTATTGCTATTATAAAATTTTTAATGCTCTCCATACAAGTGGAGTTTGTAGTGAAGATTTTTTGCATATAATTGCAGCAAACATTGCATTGAGTAACAAAATTAAAAAAAAATCTATTGATAAATGGACATATTAATACAACTTTTACTTAGCCTGGGTTGCACCATCTTACTTTAACTATAATAAACATAAAAACATCTGTCAAACTCAATACAAAAATCACTGGTTTTTGTATTGAGTTTGACAGATGTTTTGAGTCAGGTGGTGTAACAAATCCTTAGTTGACTAAAATGACTCTGGCGACTAATTGTATCATGCTATCAATATCAGTACCTTCTTTTAGGAGTGGTTGTTAGTAGCTTAGGATTGTTTTAAAAGACATATAATTTCAATAAATGATTATAAATTGAGTATTAAACACATAGTAATGGTGGTACTTACTATCATAATCCCATAAGGAAAATAAGTACTTGACTATAGGTAGCTGTTTTTAATTATTCCCTAAGTATAAAGATTGTGCTTATAATATTATGATAAATAAATAGGTGTGTTCCTATTGTATATTATTTTAAACACATTTTATTTCAACTGTTAAGTGCAAGGGCAGTCTCTAAAAACTCAGTTGAAATTATAAAATTGTCACAATTTATGTTACTTTGTTGGTGATATTAAATATTTATGAAATGTCTTGAGAGTTGACAAACAGGAATAATCAAACAGACATGGGAGGTTGGACACATGCAATTGAGAAATATAAATACTTACAAAAGAATAAGTAAGAACCTCGTAATATTACAGAAAATCGCATGGGAACTAAACCAGGATGCGAGAATGAAGTGTCGCTGTCATCTCCTTTGTCCTTTGCGCCAGGTCAGTTAAATGTGCTGCTGCTGACACTACTTTGTTTCTGTGTGCAACATGTGTCACTAACCTGTTACATCTTAATTATCCTCCTACATAGCTCATAACTAAATTCAGCTTCAGAAGATATCATCATTTTTGTATTTCATACCACCAACTGAATTGTAAAAACCATTGTGACTTATTCAATTAACTTTATTTAATATTTCACTGGTTTTATCACCATGGGTTTTGGCTATTTAGATAACTTCACTATGTTAAATCTTAAAGTACCTACTGTAGTAGTGAATAAATATTTTGGGGTTTCAATATCAAATGATCAATTTGAAACAATAGATGCCGAGAGGCAACTTCAGTGGTTATAGGGAAGAAGATCATAGCAAATGTTGTGATAGGGATAGAGACATGCGATTTTTGGTTTTACAAAGATAATACGATAGAGAATAATACAAAGTTTTAAAAACCACCTGTTATAGGGGCATTTTTTTGAGAAATTTATCAAATAACCAAAAAAATACGAATTTTTAAGCAGATTTTTTTAAAAAAGTCATTTTTTATTATTTGTTGGCATTTTCTGGGTATTTTATGTATTTTTTCAGTATCGCCTGTTATTTAGCATTATTACTGTGTTTATTTTATCAGGATATACCGCTTAGTTTAAAAGTTATTACGTTTTCTTTACAATAAGTATAAGTAATAAGAAAAACAATTCTATAAAAAATTTAAAAAAAACTCAAAAAAATTTTGACCTCTTTTTTGTCGATAAAAATAGGTCTAGTTTTATCTATTTTCATATGTACACCTTAACGTGACTCACACTGTATAGAATTGAAGTACTCGTCAATACAAAACGAAAGAGCCCAAACTCGATGGAGTTAAGTCGTTTTATTATGGAGTTCCTATGGCCACCTTCCAGCTCCATCATCAAGTCAGCTCCATGTCATCATAATATTGCATGGTCATCCAAATTACATGTGTATGCGAAATTTCAGCTTAATCGGTTGTCCGGAAGTGGGTCTTAATTCAGCTTGCAAGATTCCACCCATACAAATTTGAGCCAGTCACTGTATTATGACGTCACGCGCATAAAATGGCGGGCCGGCCGCCGCCCGCATCTTTAAAATTCAATATCTTGGGAACTATTTGACGTATCAAAATAATTCTTTCACGTGTATTTTTTATTTTTAACAGAGAATACAGAAAGCTAAAAAACAAAATTAGTGAACGTTCTTCATTATGAAAGAAAAAAAAATTAGTCTAATATTTTCTAATTATCTGTCTGACGGACAAATAATTGAAATTTTGTCATCTAGCCTATTTTGGTGTGTGCAAGATAATCTATGTGACGTAAGTCATTGACCTGTAGGTCTAGACAAGTAGCACCATACAAAAAACCGGCCAAGTGCGTATCATGCCACGCGCAGTGTAGGGTTCCTTGTAGTTGTCCTTCATTACCACAATATATTTGAGAAGCAAGCAATTACTTCATCTAAAGTCACTTTTCATATTTTCTTCTAAGGAATTTTTATAAGGTATGAAATTTTATAATACATGAGTAAAACGACTATTAGGTACCTACTCTTAAACTAACTGATCTATCTTAACCGCTATAGTTTTCTTTGAGAGTTCTTAAAAAGCACTAATATCATACCCTTACACGCTGGGGTAGAAGATGAAAAAAAAAATCCTCCCATTTTGTCGGCATGATTAATATAATATACCTCCACTAAATTACAGTTCTCTAGTTAGTGCCAGTAGTTTCCAAGCAAAACCTCGGACAGACAGACAGACATAAGGGTTCCTTGTCAGGATTACGGAACCCTAAAAAGGCCTTTCGACCACCTTTCGAAATTACAACTGTCACTTTTTACTACTTGTCTAGGGGGTTGGTTTTACGTATACAGGATGTCCCGTAATGTAACGTCAAGCCGGAACTGGGTGTTGAGGCAAGTTGTGCTGGTTATCAGAAAAATATAAAAAAAAATCTATGTGGCATATTTTAAAAATAAAAGGCATTTAAAAAAAATCAAAAAATTCTACTCCAGGTGACGGTCCTTTTACTCGTGTTGCCACAAATCTTCACTTTTTCCAAATTTTTTTTTTGGGATTACTAATGTTTGGCCAAAAAACGTTTCCCAAATTATCACATCGCAAACAACGTTTCGCAAATTTTCATTTGGCAAATTCTCATTTGGCAAAACAACTTATAGCAAACTTTTAATTCGCAAATGCCGTTTTTGGCATATTATTGTTTAGCAAATTATTGTTTGGCATAGTATGTTTTGGCAAATGTTTCATTTGGCAAAAATATTTCACGATACACTATTTACAAAATAATTTGAATGGTGCTTAGAATGGAGTACAAATTAACAAGTGGTTATTATTTTGTTTAGTGGGTAGTTAATATAAAATTTGTTCTACATAAATTTTTCATATTTCATTCTTTTTATCGAAATTCCCGAATGATTCATTAACAATAGAGGTGATTCTAGCACTCGGCGGCCGCTGCCGCGGCACGCTTCGCTCGCCTTCGCGCGTTAGGGGTCACTGTTCTAACCTAACCTAACCTACTATTTTCTGCAATACCTACTTTCTGCAACCATACTATTTTCTGCAATCTCTTTGTTTTACATAACATTCTTGTGAAAACCATGATCATCTGCCTCTGCCTTATGGTTTGATTTGTGGGTAAGTATGTGAAGTGTCGATTTGACCAAACAAATTATTTGGGATATAATATTTGGCAAAATAAAACATTTGCTATATAAACAATTTGCCAAGTAAAATTTGGCCAAATGATAATTTGTCCAAATGAATTAGTTGCGAAAAGTACAGTTGCTAAAAGTTCATTTGGGAAATGAAACTTTGGCGATAAGTTGTTTGCGAAGTGAAATTTGGCGAAAAGTAATTTGGCCAAACGGAAGGATACCTTTTTTTTGTTATGTAACCCTGAATAATGCTTCTCTAAATTGTTATCAAAATTACAAAACCAGCTGCTCCAACTTGGATGAAAAAAATACATTATTCCCAAAAAATATATCAAAATAAAAATTTTGCCTAGTTTAAACTGACTGTACTGAAAAAAAATTGTACTACGCGAGTGTGGCAAGTGACGTCATAATTTGGCGCATTTAGTAAGGATTCCAAAATGTTATAACACTTTGTAAAATCTTGCTGTAATTGTCGACAATTTTTGTTTATTGGAAATAATCCCGTTTTTAACTTTATCTACCTTGGTTAAAAATATTATTCTAATGTGCCCAAAATTTAAGTTTCTGGCTTAAGTAAGGTGGAGAAGCCATTTTAAAAGGTATGAGCGGGACGGAGAGGGCCATCTTACCAAGCAGGGATGTTATGGATATCCGTAACCGTAACCGAAACTGATTCAAAAGTTACGGATAGTTTCGGATAAAGGCCAAACTGCAAAACTCTATGAAAATTGCAGTATACACGCCGCAGCTGCAATGCCGCGCTGCCGATTTCATAGTTTTGCAGTTTGCGGTCTGCGGCCCGTCTTGGAATTGTACCTTAAATCTTAATATTTGTAACCAACTTGTCTGGCATTCGCTGGCACCATTTAATATGCCAGCCTATTTTACCTTTATCATACCATACATAGGTGTCGTCTTAGTTGGTACATAAAGTAGCTATGTGGGTCACGCTCACGCAGCATCTTGCTATTTGTATTAGGTATTTGAAATCGTAACCGAAATTATCCGAGACTTTCGGATAATCTGAAATGATTTCATATCCGTGACCGTAACCGAAACCGGTATAATATTATTCTAATATCCGTAACCGTATCCATAACCGAAACTTCATATCCTTATTATCCCTGTTACCAAGTACAAGTGCAGGCAGGGCAGGTAGTAAAGGCGCGCGCGCGCACGGGTGACTTTTGTCACAGTATGTCAACTACTAATTACTGTCATGGTGACAAAAGTTTCTGTGACTGATTGTACGGTAGTCAGTCACAGAAACTTGAATTTTGGTTTCATTAGAATAATAATTTTTAACAAAGGTAGATAAAGTTAAAAATGGGATTATTTCCAAAAAAACAAAAATTGTCGACAATTACAGCAAGNAATTTCCCATATTTCGAGTAATTTTCCCACGTAAATAACTGAGAACACTGGTCTTTGACGTATTATTTTTTCGAGTGAATGACGTTTGATTTCAATTATAGCCTGACCAGGAACATAAAAACCCTGGCATAGAGGCGCTTCAATTGCATTTGATAGTGCAACACTGAGTACAGTCGTACATGTGTTAAATTAATAGGCTAAAGGACATCATCCACGTTTCATATATTTTTGGTCCAAAATCAAAAGTGCCGGCCAACAAAAAAAAGTGCTGTATGCTGACAGAATACGTCTGCCTTAGCATTTGTTACTATGAAACCAAAGCTGTAGCACCACTGTGCGTCGAGTATTTGAGATCTAAAAATCATCGACTATTCATACATTTTTTGTTCAAAATCAAAAGAGCCGGCCAACAAAAAAAAAGTGCTGTATGCTGACAGAATACGTCTGCCTTAGCATTTGTTACTATGGCACCAAAGTTGTAGCACCACTGTGCGTCGAGTATTTGAGATCTAAAAATCATCGACGATTCATACATTTTTTGTTCAAAATCAAAAGTGTCGGCCAACAAAAAAAAGTGCTGTTTTCTGACAGAATACGTCCGCCTTAGCATTTGTTACTATGTCACCAAAGCTGTAGCAACACTGTGCGTCGTAGTATTTGAGATCAAAGTCATCCACTTTTCATATATTTTTGGTGCAAAATCAAAAAGTGCAGGCCAAAAAAAAATGTGCTGTATTCTGAGAGAACACTCACGGCAACTTCGCTCTCGGTACTAAAGAAATAAACCGACAGTGACCGACACACGCGGGTGGAGCGCGAGACCAGCGGTGAAGGGTTGAGGGAAGGGTGTGTGGTCGGTCTCCGGTTCAACCCAAGTCAGTCGGCCACTAAACTCCTCGTCCTGTCATGTAACAGTGTTGAAGCCGAGACCATTAAGGTGTGTTGCCTGTTAGGGTACTGGCTGGCCACACGGCCTTCAAGTGCGTCGCTGGCATTGACCGCAATGGACTCTGTTTCCGCTGCAGTGAAGAGGGCCA